GCGGAAGCCGTGTTGTGTGGCTGTCAGCCTCCCTTCCCTATCTAGCATCACTAGATCTCTCTCTATTATGAGTCTTTCCATTGTTTTTCCTACAATAGACATAAGGCTAACCGGTCTATAATTCCCCATGTCCTTTCTACTACCCTTTTTGAAAATTGGGACCACTGATGCCACCCTCCAGTCCTCTGGAACTTCACCTGTTCTCAAAAGGTGAAAGTCTCAAAATTGGAGGCCAGCGGGCATGAGAGAACCCCTGCCAACTCTCTAAGTACTCTAGGTGTAACCCATCAGGGTCTGGCACCTTTGTAATGTCCAATGCCCTGAGGAGCTCCTCGACTTCAAGCAGGGTGACTCTAATCTGTGCCCCTAAGTCCCCAGCCTCATCTAATCTCCTATGCGGATATCCCCCGTCCTGCTTTGGGGAGAACACAGAGGCAATATAGTCATTTAGCATCTGTGCCTGTTCCCTCATATCAGTCACTGGATCTCCTTCCTCCTTATTTAGTGGTCCCACCACTTGTCTCCCCTTCCTCTTCCTATTTACATGCTGAAAGAAGCCCTTTTTGTTGCTCTTTATATTCTTGGCAAGTCTCAGCTCGTAATCAGCCTTAGCCTTGCGAAGAATCCTTCTGCAACGGGCCTCCTCCTCCCGGTATACCCTTTTGTCTATTTCCCCCAGTACCCATTTCCTACGGAGGTTCCTCTTTTGTCTAATCCCTTTAACCACCTCCTTTTGCATCCATGGCGGCACTCTCCTCCGCCTCCCCACCTTACTGACTAGAGGTATCGTCAAGGCTTGCACCTCCAAAACCTCCCTTTTGAGTGTTATCCACCCCTCCTCAACTCGCTTACCTTCCAGTAACCTATCCCAGGAGACTTTTCCCAGTCTGGCCTTCAGTTGGCCAAAGCTGGCCCTCTTGAAGTCCCAGCTTCTAGTGCTCGTCCTGCTGCACGTCCCCAGTCCCTTGATCTCAAAGCAAAGGATGGAGTGATCACTCGCATCCAGAGCTCCCCTAATCTGTACTTCATCTATCAGCTCCTCCCTATTGGTCAAGACCAAGTCAAGGATGTTTCCCCCCCTCGTCACCTCTCAGACCCTCTGTGTGAAGAACCCACCTTCTATAGCTTCTAGGAAGCGACGTGACCTGGCTGTCACCGCTGAGTGAGTCTCCCAAGTAATATCCGGGAGACTGAAATCTCCCATAATTACTGTGTCTCTTCCCCGAGATATCCTTAGAATCTAGTCTGTCAGGACATCATCCAGGGTCTCAAGTTGACCTGGAGGGCGATAACATACCCCCACTGTCAGGTCTCTTTCCCTGTCAAAACCCCTAAGTTTCACCCAGACTGCCTCTACCGAATCCCCATCTGTGCTGCATTCTGTCTCACTGCATCCTATCCCTTCCCTGACGTATATAGCCACGCCCCCACCTCTCTTTCCCTTCCTGTCCTTTCTAAAAAGGTGATACCCTTCTATGTTCACATTCCAGATTTGCCTTTCATCCCACCAAGTTTCTGTGATTCCCACCAGATCAAACCCTCCTATTCCCAGGAGAGCTTCAAGCTCTTCCTGCTTATTACCCATGCTCCTAGCATTGGTGTACATGCACCTCAACTCCTTCCCACCGCTTCCTTTCTTTGGAGTTCCCAGCCTCCTCCTTCCTCCCATCCTCCCTGATACCTGGCCCCTCTCTGTAGGAGTCCTGTCAGTCCCTGCAGTATCTCTAAAACCCTGCTCCCAGAGCCCTGATCCTCTCCCCACACTTGCCCAGTGCAGACACATTACTGGGGGGCCTGAACCCGCCCCCCGGCTCAGTTTAAAGTTTCTGGATTCGCTAGAGCGAATCCAAAGTTCGCTAGAGCTTCTCCAAAGGACCTTTTCCCCATCCTCGTGAGGTGTAACCCGTCCCTTGCCAGAAGTCCATTGGCAAGAATACGAGTGCCGTGGTCGAGGGACCCGAAGCGTTCCTTCTGGCACCACACCCTAAGCCAGTCGTTCACCTCAGAGGCCCTCCTGTCCCTTCCTGGCCCAAATCTCCGGACAGGTAAGACTGACGAGAAGGCCACTTGGGCCTTCAGCTCCCTGAGTTTCTTCCCCAAGGCCTCAAAGTCCCTGGTGGTCCCAACCACACCCTGCCTGGCCACATCATTTGTGCCCACATGGATCATCAGGAGCGGCTGGTGACCCCTGGAGCGAACAAGACGCTCCACTCTGTCCTTCACATGCCGGATGCATGCGCCCAGCAGGCAGCAAACCTCCCTTGTCTCCAGGTTGGGGCGGCACACTGCCGCCTCAGTGCCCCTCAGCAGGGAGTCCCCAACAACAATCAGCCGCCGCCATACCTTCCCGGTGCTGGTGGGCGGCCGTGCCCTGGCCCTCACCTCTCCTGATGTCCCAGACTGGGGATCCTGCTGGTCCCCCAAGGCCTCATCAGCCCCAGCCTCCCCAAGTGGAGAGAACCTGTTTCCCAGCTCCAGATTGGTGCCAGGAGGAGGAGGCCGTGCTGGCCTCCTCCTCCTGTGGATGACATACCTCCACGTCTCCATAGCTGCTCCTCCCGTGGTCTCTCCCTCAACCCTCTGTCCAGAGGGGGCTGCTCCAGGGGGGCCTGGAGAGCTCTCTCGGCCCTCAGGCACCTCACCTCCTCTTCTAGCAGGGTCACCATCTTGCACTGAGGGCAAGTGTATCCCTGCCTCTCCTGGGGGAGAAGGGCGAACATGTCGCAGCTCTCGCAGCGGACAGCAAGACCCGTGACTCCCGCCAAGGCCATCTCCTGGTCTGCCATCAGTATCCCTTCCGAGAACTTACCTTGGTCCCCTGCCTTATTTCTCCTGCAGTTCCTCTCACTTGCCCAGTTCTCCCAGACAAAAATCCACTCGCACACACACACAAGGATAAAAAAAAAAACCTTAAATTGGAAGAAAAACAAAGCACAGCACAGCACAGCACAGCACAGCACAAACAAACCTCTGTGTCTCAGGGAAGCGAGTCCCCGGGCAGCCCGGGCTGCAGCTAAGGGATACAGACAAGGGACAACGCCTTATCAGTCCCTCAGGCCGGTGGCTCCGCCTGTCCGCTTCCTCCTGGCCCCTCTAGCCTCTCTGGCCCCGCCCCCTTCCTCTCTGCTGCTCCTGCCCTCTGCTCCCCTGCCCAGCTCCTACCTTGCCTTCGCCAGTCCCCTGGCCACTCAGCACTCTCTCCCAGCCTGTGCCTCTGCTGCTCTGCCAAGAGGCCAGAGCCAAATTAGGTTCCTCCTGAACCAAAATGGAACCAGACTGCGGGTGCATATCATTAAAAGGGTGGCAGGATAGCCTTTAAAATGAATCCAATGGAAACATCCAGTTTGAGGAAAGTCATCCTTAGTGGATGAAGGGGAAAAAGTTTTTGATTGCCCAAACATAGAAGCGAAGGAGGTAAGCCACAAGCTTCTGGTAAAGCATAAACAGTAGGAGAGGCTCAAGTGACAAAACTTGATTGTGCACATCAGGTGAAGGACACTGCGTTTAGGGATCTTTATGTAAATACTGAAGATTACCGAGCCGAGATAGGAAACTCGGAAAGGTTGGTTTTAAAGTCAGGCATTACAGAAACCTGGAGGAATGGAGACAACTAGTGGATTGGATCATCTCCAGATATACACTGTATAGGAAAGACAGGAAAGAATGGACTGTGGCTCTCTACATCAAAGAGGATATAGAGTACAGCAGGTTTAATAATCTAAAATGCACAGACTCCTCCACAGAAGCACTATGGGTGATATTAGCTGGCTCCAAAACCAATCAAGTCATAGGAATATGTGATTGTTCTCCAGACCAGAATGCTCAGGTGATCCTGAGATAGATGATGAAATCAAAGAGACCTCCAACAAAGGCAGTGTTGTAACAATACAATACTTCAACTACCCATGCATTGACTGGATAAATGTATGTTCCAGTATTGACAAAGACACTAAATTTATTGATGTTCTAAAAAACTGTGCCCTAGAACAGTTGGTCATGGTACCAACCAGCGGAAGACAATACTGTTGCCCAGGACAGACACAAAGGCTGTTGAACTGACTGGAAATAGTGACCACAGTGCTATCAGAGTTAATCTGCAGTTAGGTGGAAGACTGCTGAAGAGGTTCAACACAATTGCATTTGACTTCAGAAGGGAGGATTTCTCTAAAATAAAGGAACTGGTAAAAAAAGAAGTTGAAGAAGGGAGTCAAGAGAATGAAATACCTTCAAAATACTTGGAGATTACTCAAAATCAGAGTAATAGAGGCACATATAGTATGAATGCCACAAGTTAGAGAATGTAGCACAAAGACTAAGAGGTCACCAGCATGGTTAACAAGCAAATTCAAAGAAGCAATTAAAAAGGATTTCCTTCAAGAAATTAAAATCTTCCCCAAATCATGAAACCAAAAGGAAGCATAAGTCTTTCATTGCAGACCTTCTTACAAAAATATGTAATTATGTCCCTAAGATCAGCTTCTGTACCAGAGGACTGGAATATGGCCAATGTAACACCAATTCTGAAGAAGCGAGCTCTCCAAGCTGGGGAAATGGGAATCAAAATGGCAAATGTAGTTCAATGTAAGTAAGTGGAATGTTATAGGTATTGGGACAAACAACCCAACTTCAGATATAAGCTGATCTGAGTTAGCAGTGATTTATCAAGAAAAGTTCTTAGGGTTGTGGTGAACAGATTGATGAAAATGTTGGCCCAGTGTGCAGCTGCTGTGAAAAAGATAAACCCCTTGTTAGGCATAATTAGGAAAGGAACTGAACATTGAACTATAAAGATGGTGTGCCCCTTATACAAATTTTTGGTACAGCCACACTTAGAATAGTGTGTACATGGCTGCATGTAAAAAGGACCTTATCGAGATGGGAAAAGTGCAGAGAAGGACAAGTAAAATGACTGGGGAATGGAACAATTCCACTATAAGGTGTGACTACAACAAATGGAATTATTTAGCTTAGAAAATAATGTGAGCAAGGAGAGACATGATAGAGATGTTTAAAATTATACATGGTGTGGAGAAAATGAAGACATTTTTCTCCCTCTCCTATAATATTAAAACACAACATCTTTCCATTGGTGGGAGATTCAGGACAGATGAAAGGAAGTACTGCTTCACACAGCTCTTAGTTAAACTATGGATCAGAGCCAACTGTTATCAGAGGCAGTGTCCCTGCATATATCAATTGCTGATGGGCAGGCAGAAGTCTTGTGCCCATTTTTCTTGAGATCCTGTGGGCAGCTAGTTTGCTACCATGTGAACAGATTGGTGGACTGCATGGACCCCTGGTCTGATCCAGCATGGCTTTTCTTATCATCTTATGTTCTTAGCTGCTGGAAAGGAAAAAAGGGAGAGACACACTAATAACAATGCATTAGATTGTATTATCACAAATGGAAATTCTAGCAGGGTCTGGAAAGGGATAGGTTCTATGTTGAAGACAATCCTCTGGAAATTTTCTGTTGTTAGCTGGCCCTTTCTCTCTATGGGAAAAGCAGTGGTTGACACTCCAAATGGTAATACAGCCATTGAGAAGTGTCAGGACCTATGGAATTTCCCCAGTTTTTTCATTACATGTAGAGTGTGCTTAAGAGAAATCTCTGAGATTTGGTATTGTCAAATGTTTCTTTCTAGGTGGCAGTAAAAGTATAATATAAAATAATATATAATAAAAGTATATGATGATACACAGTTTCTTAAATACATGAACTCTAGGGAAGAGGGGATTATTGCTTTCTCACCTTGCCATTTTCTTCAAATAGCCCAAAGTCCTTTACTTAACAGAAAAATGTGTAGGTTTTCACCATGTGGCAAATATTAAGTGGAAGTGTAATTTAAACAAGACACAGGGAAAATGCATTGGAAAAAGGGTTAATCCCCCCCCCCCCCCCGTGGGATTGTACTAAGTCACAAGGGATCTGTGATCATGCCTAGTTTGTTCCCCTTGTTAGATTCACAAGACTGATTTTCTTTAATTCATTATTTAGAGTGTTTGACATGGGGAAATACATGTGAAAGAATATAATACTGCCAATAATACTATAGGTAAATGATGGTTGTTCTAAGTGCTCTAAGCACTTCACACCTTACCTTAATAATCTTTACAAGGACACTGTAAAATTGGGCAGTATTATCCCCCACTAATGTTACAGATGGAAACTCAAAAACAGTGGTTTGACCAAAGTTGAGGAGAAATTTGAATCATTGGCCATGGGGAGATTTGAACCAGCAGGTTCTAGCTTGAAGTTTATGCTTTCGAGTACTATCCTATCCCTGCTTTCTATGCAGATCCCACAAAGGTACAAACCCATCCCACTTAACCCCAGTAAATCCCACTATATTACATAGCATACTGAATTTCTGAATTTCAGTGTATTTGTTACACCGGTATTCTGCTCATTTTCCAGGGATATTGGGCAAGTCCAAATTGCCTTTCCCATTTTATCCTCACATTTTATCTTCCCACTCAACTCAGTCCAGCCATTTCCACACAATATTGAATGAAGATTATGAAGACTAAACTGTAATGAAAAAAGAGTTTGATTTTAAAAAAGAATCAATTACATGAAACCAAAAGGACCAAGATGAGAGAGAACAAACCTGTAAGTTGGTTAGGTTTTGTCTGAATTGCATGAATCTCTTTAGGGTTCTTTCAACTTCAGAATGTAGCATTAAGAGTCTAAATAAAGAGAGAAATGGAGAATAAGGACAAAATAAAAGGAACAATTCCAACTCAAAAAGAACCCTAAAATAATTTTAGAGATTAGAAGCTTTAAAGTGCTTTTTATGTTATTTTTAAAACTTTACTGTATAAGTGTTTGTTTATATGGCATGAATCTTAGCACTGGTGCTCTGATCACTTTCGTGGTTTGTAGTGGTGTGTGTGTGGGGGATTATCCCTCTTTGGAATACCTCCTTGTATTGCCTCTGACATTGCACTGAAAAATAAAGTGTGTTCCTGCAAAGCTCCATATGCGTATCAGATTTAACAGGGTGATACCCAGGGAACAATTGGTGCATAGAGAGCCCACTGAATGAGTTAGCCTTTTCTACAAGGGCAATTTGAATTAAATATAGAAACAAAGAAACAGAGCAAGTCAGAAGAGGCCTCCTGGGCCATCTAGTCTGACCCCCAGCTCCAGCCAGCTCCGCTCATGACAAGCCTACCATGGGCATGTCTAGCCTATCCTTGATCACCCTGACCGATAGGGACTCCACCACCTCCCGAGGAAGCCCATTCCATACCCTTGGGTTCCTAACTGTCAGGAAGTACTTCCTGGCATCTAAATTGAACCTTGGTTCCCTGAGCTTCACTCCATTGGAGCGCGTCCTAACCGCCTCTGCAGGGGAGAATAGGTCTCAATCCACCACTGCGTGACACCCCACATGTACCTGTATGTCACCAACAGATCCCCTTGGATTCTCCTCTTCTCCAGGCTGAAAAGACCCACTTCCCTCAGTCTCACCTCATACAGCTTTCCCTGCAAGCCGGCCACCATCCTGGTGGCCCTATGCTGCACTAACTCTAACCTGGCTATATCCTTCTTGTAATGAGGGGCCCAAAACTGGACACAATACTCCAGTTGTGGGTGCACCAGAGTTGTATAAAGTGGTAGTAATACCTTTCTCGATCTAGAAGCCACTCTTATGGCTATGAAACCAAGGGTGGTGTTCGCCCTCTTGACCACCGCATCACACTGCTGACTCATGTTTAGCCTACAGTCAACCAGCACCCCAAGGTCCCTTTCACAAGTACTGCTCTCCAGCCACTTGTCCCCTAATCTGAATTTATGACACCCATTCCTATGCCCCAAGTGCAAGACATTGCACTTATCCACACTGAACTCCACCCTGTTGTCTCCTGCCCACTTCCATAGTCTGTCCAGATCCTTTTGGATCTGGAGTACCTGCTCCTCAGTTGTGGCCACTGCCCCAGTTTTAGTATTGTCTGCGAATTTGATCAGCAGATTGTTCGCTCCTTGTTCCATGTTGTTGATGAAAAGATTAAACAGGATCGGACCCAGGACAGAGCCCTGGGGGACCCCGCTTGTCACTGGCTGCCATCCTGATTTCTCCAGTAATGGTTACCCTCTGCTTTCAATCAATCAACCATGCACTAATCCATTGGACAGTGCATTGGTCTATCTCAAAACTCCTCGGTGTCTCAACCAGGATATCATGGGGCACTTTGTGAAAGGCCTTGCTGATATCCAGGTAAACCATATCCACTGCATCCCCTCCGTCTAGCCACCTTGAAATTTTGTCATGGAATTCCCCAAGGTTTGTCTGGCAGGACCTGTTATTGCAGAAGCCGTGTTGTGTGGCCGTGTGCCTCCCTTCCCTTTCTAGCATCACTAGATCTCTCGCTATTATGAGCCTTTCCATTGTTTTCCCTACAATGGACGTAAGGCTAACTGGTCTGTAATTCCCCAGATCCCTTCTACTACCTTTTTTATAAATTGGGACCACTGACGCCATCCTCCAGTCCTCCACCAGTTCTCCACGAGGGCTCAAAATAGAGGCCAGTGGGCGTGAGAGAACCCCTGCCAACTCTCGAAGTACTCTCAGGTGTAACCTTTGAAGGCCTGGAGCCTTTGTAACATCCAGTGACCTGAGGAGCCCCTTGACTTCCGGGGGGTGACTCTAATCTTTGCCCCCATGTCCTCGGCGTCATCTAATCTCCCATACAGATCTCCCTCATCCAGCTTTGGGGAGAACACAAAGACAAAATACAGTGGTACCTTGGCTCACAAACTTAATCCATTCCACAACTCTGGTTGCAACCCAAACTGGTCATGAGTCAAGTCAAATTTCCCCATAAGGTTCAATGTAAATAAAGTTAAACCATTCTGTACATATTTTTTTTTTAATCACAGGGAAGACGACCATGATCACAGCCATCTCCCCTCCCCCCCCCGCGAGCACGCCCGTGATCACGCCCGTCTTCCCTGCAGGAGTACGACTGCGATCACAGCCATCTCCCCTCTCCCCGAGCATGGCTGCAATTGTGCCCATGCAGGGAAGATGGGTGCAATTGCGATCGTCACCCAATGTGGAGTTTGTGACCTAAGGAAAATTTTTTCCTAAATTTCTGTTCGCGACCCAAATTGGTCCTGAACTGAGGCGTTCATGAGTCGAGGTACCACTGTCGTCCTTTAGCACCTTTGCCTGTTCCCTCGCACTGCATCCTATCTCACTGCATCCTATCCATTCCCTGACATATAAAGCTACACCCCCGCCCCTCTTTCCCTTCCTGTCCTTTCTAAACAGGTGATACTGCTCTATGTTTACATTCCAGCCTTGCCTTTCATCCCATCAAGTTTCTGTGATTCCCACCAGATCATACCCTCCTATTCCCAAGAGAGCTTCAAGCTCTTCCTGCTTATTACCCATGCTCCTAGCATTGGTGTACATGCACCTCAACTCCTTCCCACAGCTTGCTTTCCTTGGAATCCCCAGCCTCCTCCTTCCTCCCATCTTCCCCGATACTGGCCCCCCTCTTTGTATGAGTCCTGTCAGCCCCTGCAGTACCTCTAACACCCTGGTCCCAGAGCCCTGATCCTCTCCCCTCACTTGTCCAGTGCGGACAAGTTTCTGGGGTCCTGACCCCCCACCCCAGATCAGTTTAAAGTCTTCCAAAGGAAGCTCGCTAGAGCATTTCTGAAGGACTTTCCCCCCATCCTCATGAGGTGCAACCCGTCCCTTGCCAGAAGTGCATTGGCAAGAAACCAGGTGCCGTGGTCGAGGAACCTAAAGCATTCCTTCTGGCACCACACCATCCTTTCCCTGCCTGGTCCAAACCCCTGGACCAGTAAGATAGATGGAAAGGCCACTTGGGCATTTAGGTCCCTGAGTTTCTTCCCCAAGGCCTCAAAGTCCCTGGTGATCCCGCCCACATCCTGCCTGGCTATGTCATTTGTCCCAACATGGATCACCAGAAGTGGCTGGTAACACCCCCCCCCCGGAGCGAACAAGACGTTCCACTCTATCCTTCACATGCTGGATGCATGCACCTGGCAGGAAACAGATCTCCCTCTCCTCAAAGTCAAGGCGGCTCACCAACACCTCAGTGCCCCTCAGCAGGGAGTCCCACCGTCTCTTCCTGGTGGTGGTAGGCAGCCATGCCTGGCCCTCACCTCTCCTGCAGCGGCCTCCTGGTCGAATATGGTCCCAGGCTGGGGATCCTGCTGGTCCCCCAAGTCCTCATCAGCCCCAGCCTCCCCAAGTGAAGAGAATCTGTTTCCCAGCTCCAGATCGGCACCAGGGCATGCCTCCATGTCTCCCTGGCTGTTTCTCCCATGGCCCCTCCCTCAACCCTCTGTCTGCAGGGGGACTGCTCCCAGGGGGCCTGGAGAGCTCTCTTGGCCCTCAGACACCTCACCTCCTCCTCTAGGAGGGTCACAAGTTTGCATCAAGGGCAAGTGTATCCCTGCCTCTCCTGAGGGAGAAGGGCAAACATGTTGCAGCTGTTGCAGCGGACAGCAACACCTGGGGAGACTTCCTAAAGATTACGATCTTTGGAAGTCTTTGCAGAAGATGAAAACAAGTAGCAAGAGGGGATCTATTCAGCTCAAGTCAGCTTTGCATCCATCAGGTACTTAGTTTCTTTTGTTCTCAGTACTCCAAAGTTGCTAAATATACCTGTGGAGTTTTTTCTACAAGGAAAAAATATAGATTTTACAGTGAAGCAAGTGATGCATGAGATTGGTAAATGGCTCACCCAGAAGTTTTATTTTTACTGTAAATCAGGCGTAAGAAACTAGTCATTTTCCAGATGTTTTAGCCTACAATTCCCATCTGTTCTAGTCAGCATGGCCAATGGTGAGGTATCATGTGGGACCTCCAGATGCTTTGGCATCCTAGTTGCCCACTCCTGCTATAAAGCAAGTACATGGGGCTGTAAATTTAACCATGGCAAAGGTATCAAAAGAAAATGAATTCAACCCCTCACCTTGTGCCACTAACCTAATCAAAACCACTCTCTAATATTGCTACTAGTCCTACAGTGGCAGCCCAGAAACTCTGCTCTAACCCTACCTCTACCTCCAAACACACATGCAGTTTTAAACAATAAACACAATGTGAACATGAATCCCCTACATCACATGCACTTTGGGCCTCATCATTACAACAGGTAACCTTACTTGTCATTCTCTTCAATTTCAGGTTCCCTCTTTCTGGAAGACCCAGACAGTACATCTTTAGATTCATCTCTATTCTCTAGATTTAAGGGGGAAAAGAAATTCATGTTCTCCTTTGCATTACTAAAATTTAAAAAATCACAACAGTCAAAATAATACTAAGATATAGAATATTTCCTGTTTTGTACACAAGATAAACATGAACTCTTCTCTCAAATTCATTTGTAACCTTTACATTTTCCATTAAACAAATACACCATTGTTTTATATTTGATTAATTTTATTTCTTTCATTATAAGAAACTAGAAAGGAAGAGTACTAAAAGTACAAAGAAAAATGAAAACAGGAGATTTACAGAATTAATAGTAATAGTACAACTATTATTAAGATGCTGAAAGTGAGAAATAGATGAACCATAAAATGGTGTAGTAAGAAATAAGTGCATATGAAATAAGTGAAACACAGTAAGTATTAGAATAAAAATACTAGATTTCAAAGAGAAAACATGAGGTATAGATTACATGTTTGGGCAACAGATTATTTTACTAACACAAAGGATGATGAATTGTACCTAACTTGTTATTCCATCAGCAACTTCTTCAGCCCAATCTCTCCAGAAGTTCCTAGAACTTGTACTATGTCATCAATTGCCAAGAACCAACGAATTTTGCAGTTCAATGGAAGGTCTGCTTCTGTGGGTTGGAATCAATCAGCACCTGAACTCATCAGTACCATACTCACCTGCTTCTGTACCTTTTCTCCAGGAAGACAGGCCAAGAATGGGGAGTATGTTATTTGCCATACACACTCACATATATCTTTATTATAATTGTACCTTGTGAGTGTCTGAATTATAATCTGCTTTGAGCCTGAGTTTTGGCTAAAAAAAGAGTACCTCTATCCAACCACATACAAGGGATCTTCAGAAAGTTTCCGCACTTTTTAAAACACTATTAAGAATTTCCAAAACAATTACATCACTTTTCTACATAGTCACCTTCCTTTGTGATGCATTTTCCCAGCATTGTACCAACTTTTTAATGCCATCAGTAAAAATATATAAAATATATTTATAAAATATAAAAGTGTGGAAACTTTCTGAAGACCCCTTGTATAAATGATTAAATAATAGCAAATTTGGAAAAAGAAGCAGGCAAGGAGGATAACTAGTGAGAGCCAGTGTGGTATGGTGGTTAAAATGTTGGACTGAGGACCTGGAAGGGCTGGGTTCTAGTCCTCGCTTAACCATGAAACTCATGGGGTGACTATCAACTAGTTACACACTCTTAGCCTAACCTAAATTAAAGAGTTGCTGTGAGGATAAAAATGAAGCTATTTAAGCCACCTTGGGTTCCTCATAGGAAAGAAAAAAAAGGCAGGACATAAATGCAATGTAATAATCACCAAAAACATGATATTCAAATTCTACCTTGGTTAAGTTTGAAAATGTATGCAAGGCAGACATCGTAGACAGACTAGGTCCTTTAATATCTTGAACAACATAGAAGAGAACACACAGAGAACTTGCTTTTATCCTAGAATCATGCAGAACTTCCACTCTCTCAAAAAAAGAAATAAATGTAGTAGTGTTAGGAATAGATTATAGTACTCTTTATAGGGGGGCAAGTAGAAATCTTTGAAGCACCTTCAAGGTCACTGCCTGCAGTTTCCTAGGCCAACTGTGAGAGCAGACATGTTTTGAAAGAGATGGGAGGGGTTGTAGGAGAGGAGGGAGAGCTGTTGCCTTGCCTGGCCCGGCCCCTGAGCCTGTGATGAGGCATTGGGAGAGATAATCAATCGAGTTAGAGGGCTTGCATAGGTCCCACTGGCTGGCTTTCCACCAGCAGGAGCCACCTTGAGAGTGAAGCCCACTTTTCCTGAAATAGAAGAATTGGATAGTGTGACCAAAATAAAATGGTCCTTGATTCAGTAAAGAGGAAACTATCAGGTTTCCAAGGAAAGCCCTTATCAAAGATAGACTGAATGCAAGATCTGGTTTTAAACACTGTGCATGTAACATTTATTCTATGGTATAAAGAATACAAAAGTATAAGAATACAAGTTCAGCAATCATCAGCAACAATATCATTCACACTCACATTCGTCCAATACTCACACACAACCAATAGACCCTTCTCCAGAGATGATCAAGCGTTGGCAAGATCTGTGAATGACCAGTTGCAGTGCTGTCCTGGCACACATGGGAGCTAGAAAGCCCAGGCATTTTATACCTTAAAAGTTCACACTATCAGATAGTCCAAAATGAACACTGAGCTCATTTGAGCAAGACACAGACGCAGGATGTGCTGGTCTTCACTTATCTTGGAAAAACATGTTCACCACATTCCATTCTCTCTGGATGGTACAGAGCAGGCTTATCTTCTCTATTGCACTCAATTCTCCAACCACTCCCTGCTTTTCAGTTTTTCTGTGCAAAATACTCAGTCTCAGTCAGTCTCATCATGCTCTTTGATTCTCCATTTTTTCTGGGTCTCTTAGGCCTTCAGGAACCCATGCATACTGTAACACTGGTAGTGTCCAGTCTGAGTTAACACTCTTTACATTAGCAGGAGCTCAGGGGCTCAGTTTGCTAGAGAGCTCTTACAAGTTGGATTGTCTTGTTAACTGTGAACTGTCATAAAAGATCTGCATTGTAAAAGACTGTCTGGAGTTTTGGAAGAGAAGGGGAAAATATGGCTCACAACAATAGCACAAAATTTCTAGAGAACAAATGGGTTCTGGGTTGTAGAAGTTCTTGTGGCAGGTAGATCTGAATACATGTTCCTCACCATAGCCACCATACTTACTATGTTAACCATAAAGAATACAAAGAACATGCAGGGGCCTCAGTCCAAGCCACTGTTCCTTTCTACCTTCTTCTCTGGTTGACTGCTTTCAGAAATAGTCTGACAGGGTCTGCCATAGTTCTCTTCTAATGTCAATACTCAATTAGTCTCCCTAAGCCACAGAATCTTATATGCATATCAATGGGATGCATGTATGTGTGTGTGCAGGTGCACATGTATGGCACATGAATATATGGATGCATATGTGTGTACAGAACGTTCAAGAATTGCATATGCTTGCACAATGAAGGGATTCCTGCTGCTGGGTTCTCAGGCTACTCAGAAAAATAAAAATTTAGTCAAGAGCTCAAGTTCAAAATGGCTGGAAAATACTGACTTAAGATCCATTTTGTAAGCAAGCTGAACAAGTCCTGATGCAGAATATGTTTATCAAATTAAGTGACTGTCATGACAGATGAAGCATGACAGAATTAAGTGGAAACAGTTGGACAGCTTGCATTCTCTGCTTGTTCATTTCCTTAAATGTTTAATAAAAGCAATAGTTTGACAATAAAATCTAGTCACTACTATAATGCTGAAACTACTGCTTACTTTTCAGTCTAGCCATCTTAATCAGGGTCAGCACTATCAAGCACCAATCAAGCCCTCATCCCAGAAGGGGACCACTCTGTTCATTTGCCCATCAGATGGAGAAGCAAAAGAAGCCATTGCCATTTTCTTCAGGAGATGGTGCATTTTGGGCAGATAGGGAGGGGCAAATATGTGGGCAATAGCAAAGCTAGGCAGGCAGATAAGGGTACCTTAGGAAAGTGCTTGGTCCACTGAGGAATTTTTTTAATAAGGATCCTCTGAAATCAGAATGTATCCAATGTATTCTTTAGATTAGAAGATAAAGGGTAGGGAAAGATTTGACCAAAATTGATGGGAGTCAGGACTGGGCCTTGCCAATTTCTTTAATAGCCCCTACTCTCTTTTCTTTCATACTCCATGCAGCATACTGTCCTCTGCAGACTGTACTCATTTTAAAGCAATACCACCGCTATCCCTTTCCAAGAAAAACCCACTGAATTACAAACAGCTTTGATGGCTTTGCTAAGAAAATCTGAGCATGGGTAGATCAGATACAAATCATGCAAAATGATTTGCTACAGGATACTCAGCAGGGCCAGCTCCAGGTTGGTTTGCATGTTTGGAGAGGATGATGTTTGGACAGGCTGCCCCCTGGTGGGACTGCCTCTTCTGCGGATGGGCTCCAATAGGCTTACTGGCAGTTGGTGAGCAAAAACAGCATTTTAAGTACCACTAGTTGGCTTGAAGCTGCCATTTTTGCTTCCCTATAATGCAAGAAAGACATTTTAAAAGCCTGGAAACAGTCAAGTACATTCATATACAACTTCCAAGCAAGTACTTTCTCTGTAACTGACATCTTCTGTTCATGTGTTTTTCACAGCAAAGTCAGACACAAGTTAAATCAAATTGTTACAGCCCAGTGTTTGTAGTGTTGCCTTCTTGTGTTTTTCAAAACTGGCTTAAAGCTTTTTTTTTTTTTGGGCAATAAAATGTAACTGCTGTATTAACCTGACTTGAGCAAGCCTTTTCATAATCTTATGCCTTCACTTAAACACTGCCAATGTGCAAGTTTATCCTGTTAATTGCTTCTTGTTGAACCCTTCTGCGGGATAAATAGTCTGTCATTTACCCCTTGGATAATCTCTCCTAATTGCCCCAGTGTTAGTTTATGTTTTTGTAGTGAGAGAGGAAAGCTTTAATTATTGGTTTCCTTGCATTATTTTTAATGCCTTTTTAATAGCAAAAGAAGGTCATTAGTGGATGATATAGTGCTTTATTAATGTGAAAAATAGAAGCTTATATTCTTCTTTCTTTCAGCTAATTGTGGGAAAACAATGCCTCTGCAGCAATAATCAGATCTATTTTAGCAGTAGCATTGGCTTTCTAAAACAAGCTGTGAAAGGGACAGGAATCTTTTCCCTACAAAGGGTTGTTGACCACAGGAAAAGTAAACCAGAGTTCATCCACCCTGACAGCAGATGGAGCCAGATTTAGTCTTTACATCAGATTTCATTGCATTTAAACATGTCCCAGTGGGCTTGATTTAGAAATAAATTCTTTCATTTAAGAAAATAAATACTGTGGCTAATTTTTCCTGATTCTGTCTAATTAACCACTCCATTATAAGCAGATACGTAGGAGATAATTCTCTTTTGTACTCATTTTCTTTTGAATATTTTACAGCAGTTATTAAGAGACTTTC